GAATTCTACCAGACTTTCAAACGACACTGAAATTCTGCTCAACTTCAGAACGACGCCGGAACTCTGTCTGGCGTTGTAATTGATTTTCAATCCTGAAAAGATTGATTGTAATCTGATCGTCCTAAATTTTAAGGACGTTATTATTTAAAAACTAAATTATGTGAAAGTTGTCAATTTCTCATAATTTAATTCGATAAAAAATTATTTTCAAACAAAAACTATGAGCAACCACATATTTTTGCATTTGGCTTTCGAGCACATATGTCGTATTTATGAATGTTGCGTACTAGAATATCCATGGCGTAGAGAAATATATAGTTTAACATATTAGTTTTGTACGAATATATATCCAGCACACAATCAAATAAAAATAGAGGGTGCAGCATTTATAAGAGACACCAAGATTTTTATGTAGAAGATCCTGAATATGAGAAAAAACTATGGGGCTGGCCCAATTTAAATGAATCCATTAGTATTTATAGTTGATTACAAATGAGGCCCTTCCTTGGGTGGAAGGCTTTGTCTTGATGTAACAAATATACATTATATAGAGTGCATTACATAGTGGGAGTATGTAGAATCATTATTGACATGTTCGTTTGGTCGGAAGGACCATGCATAATTAGTGGGTGACGGAGGTTGGAAATACCATTGTCAGGCGATGGAGGTCGAAAAGATCGTAGTCGGCAGGCGACGAAGGTTGGAACGACCGTTATCTAGTGACGAAGGTTAGAAGAACCGTAGTTGACGGGCGACAGAGATCAGAAGGACCGTAGTATGCAGGCATAAAGGTCGAAAGGACTGTAGTCGGCAGGCGATGGAGGTCGGAAGGACCGTAGTCAGCAGGCAATGGAGGTCAAAATGACCGTAGTGGGCGGGTGGCGGACATTAGAAAGATTATTGTCTGGTGATGGAGGTCAGAAGGATCGTAGTTGACGGGCAACAGAGGTCAATAGGATAGTTGTCTGGTGATTGAGGTCAAAAGGACGGTAGTCATTGGGCGATGGAGGTCAGAAAGACCGTTATCTGGTGACGAAAGTCGGAATGACCGTATTCGACGGGCGACGGAAGTTAGAAGGACTGTTGTCTTGTGATAAAGGTTAGAAGGGTCGTAGTCAGCGGGTGACGGAGGTCGGAAAGATCGTAGTCGGCGAGCGACGAATGTCAAAAAAATTGTTTTCTAGCTATAAAGGTTGGAAGGATCGTTGACGTGCGGAAGTCCAACATCAAGTAGAAATCGAGCAACGCACGAAAGTTTGACATTGGGTATAAGTCCGAGGACGAGCAGACGTCCGGCGTCAAGCACAAGACTGGTAATGGGCGGAAATCTGGCGTCGAGTAAAAATCTGACGCAAGTCCAACGTCGGGCAGAAGTCCGGCAACAGGCAGAAGTTTGACATCAGGTAGAAATCTAGCGTTATGCAAAATTTCGATGTCTAGCAGAAGTCCGACAAAAATTCGGTGACTCGCAAAAGTCCGGCAATGGGCGAAAGTCTGGCTTTGGGTAGAAGTCCAGTGATGGACAGATGTCCGATGGCGGGCGGAAGTTCGACTTCGGATGTCTGATCAAAGTCTGGCAATGGGTGGAAGACCGGCCTCAAGTAGAAATCCAACGACGGGAGGAAGTCTAGAGTCTGGTAGAAATCCGGTGACCGGTGGAAGTCCCACGTCGGTCGGAGTCCATGAGGCGGTGAGATGGAGCTTGTGGCATGATTTTTCTTCCTCTCCTCCCTTCTTTCCCTCCTTCCTTCTTGTCCCCTTCCATGAGGAATGAAGGATCTACCTATAGTTTTCTAAGAGTGACATGATCAGTAGATAAAAGGGAGATCAAGGGCAAGTTGGGAGTGGTTTGAATGGACGGCCGATATTGAATCCCATGATTATGGACCATTTATCAGGCATTTGAATATCTTAATAATATCAAAATTTGATGATATTGGGCTCATTGGATTTGTCTCGTCAATCCTATCGATTCGACTATAAGCATGTCATGTTTGAAAACTGTTTGTTAATCCAAATTATGGTGTTAACCTTCTAAATCTGCTTTGGGTCATTGATTTGGACCTATCTAAGCTTGGATTGAGTCGAATTTGGTGCCATTGGGTTCATATTTTTGAGACGTTCAGTTTGACCTTAAGTTTACTGAAATCAGAGTTCATATGATCTAGAATTTAATTTTTGAAGTTTTCAACATGATTTTGCATCGAGATTCGTGCCCGATCAAGATAATTTTTGATGATATATCAATGATGATCTATATAAGTGGAATGAAATTTTGATCTTAATTTTTGCAAATGGTTTTCCATTAAAAAATAAATATAAAATTAAAGTTAAGTGTTGCTGATATGAGCATGCTCAAGTGGATGGGTGATAGAGCTGCAAAAGAACCGAGTCGAGTATATGTGTGAGTGTTTATGTTTGTGTTCATTATTATCAGCTTGTTCAAGTTTCGTTTGTGTTTGATTCGAGCTTTATTGTTTGTGTTCGTTTAAATTAATGAATGTTTATGTTTGGTTCATGTTCAGTTCGTTTAGTGCTTATCGAGCTTTAAACAAACAAGCCTTAATGAACTATGAACGAGCTCTACTTATAGATGTTTATTAACTTAACAAATGAGCTTTATCGAACCTCCTAACAAATAATTACATTGAGCATGTTCGTAAACATATTTAGTGATTTTTTTTTAAATACCAAATATATCATTTAAACGAGAATCGAGCAAACATGAACAAATGTGAAATGTCTCTTTTACATTAATCGAACACGAATCGAGCCTAATTTCAAGCTTGTTCACGAGCTTTAAATGATGTTGTTCACGAACATAAATTAATGAGTTGAACAAATTAGTGTTCAAGCTTGTTTATTTAAAAATCAAATAATTAAAATATTGTTCAAATTTATTTGTTTAGCTAACTAAACGACACAAACAAACTTTAATCGAATCAAACAACGAGTAGCTAGTCGAACGTCTGGTTCGTTAGCAGCCCTAATGAGTGACTTCACTCTTAGAGACAGAATGTGAAACAAGTACATATATGAAAAGTTTGGCCGGGTAGCTCCAATGGCAAATAAGATTTGAGAGAGTCGCCTTACATGGTTTGAGCACATAAAATGCTGGCCTTTCAATGACCTGGTTAGGAGAATAGATGCATTATATTTGACGTAAGTTAAAAAAGATAGAAGTAAATCTAAAAGTCTCTATAGAAAATTTTAAAAATAAAATTTTTATATTAGATTTAAATGAGAATTTGACACAATAGAGAAAAAAGGATTCACCTAGCCGATCTCACATATTATGATAAATGTTTGATGTTGTTGTTATTGTCGTTGAAATATTGATCTTTATTAATATATTGAATTAGATCTTAGATTTATTAATTAGTTAATTACTTTGCTTAAATCAGCTTTTCTTTCCTCTCTTGCCTCTTATATTGTGCGACTGAAGCTAGGCTTTGGGTTTTCGTGCAAGGGATTGAAGAGGGCGACAGGAGCAACAGTAGTATGGGGAGGAAAGAAGGTCAAGAGGATTTTAGTGTGCAAAGGCAAATTTGTTGATGGCATTCGTAACCATTTTTCATTCATAAATCAAGATCATTTAAAGAGTCAATAGTAAATGATCCCACCCGTCAACTCAACCCGAATAATTCATATTCAGACCCATTTATTAAATAAGTCAGATTCGGGTTGATTCACGAACTCGCTTTTGACCAAAAAAGGACTCATTTATTATCCTGTTATTTTTATTTTCTTATCAAATATCCTAAGTTTTATAGTTAATAAGTTATAATTTTTTTCTTAACCAAAATGGGTTGATGTGTCAGGTTTGGGTCATTTGGGTTGTTATCGGGTCAAGTTGGGATTTGTCTTTTAACCTATTTATTAAATGGGTCATATACGAGTTAATTGGATTCAAGTCTGATCTAAACTAGACCCATCACCCTATTTTGACACCCCTATTGTAAGATCATAAATTAGATTTTCATAAGAGTTTTTTCTTAATCATGAAATGATGATTTTTTTTTTGAAGCAGCATCTCAATGAATAATAATTTTTCTAGATAGGTTGATAATTAATTTTGAAAAAAAATAAATAAAATCTAATTAATTTTATTTTTTAAAATATTTATTTAAAATTAAATCAAATCACATTATATATATATATAATTCTTTTGGATAGAACCATATTAATTTGTCATCATATATATAATACAAGTCAAATTAGCTGTTAATATACTTTTTTTATCTTAAAATAATTCTAAATTTGATGACTTAAGTTAAAAAAGACCGTAATTAATTTAAATAATTTTTTCCCTAAAGTAAATCAAATTAATTCTAATAAATATATATTTCTAATTATATATGATTCAATATTATAACAATTATTTTCTAGCGTACACTCTCAATTGCCACAATTATTTTTTTGAATAGGATCATATTAAATTATTGGTCTTCTTTCTTAGGATTTGTTTGTCATTAATAAATCGTTCATAAGAGTTGATTGGCATTAATAAATGGTTCATAAACATTTGTACAAATTTGTAATCTTAGGACTTTTTCATTTCACATAATTGCGAATAATTTTTAGATTTTGTTTGGGATAATTTTATTACACTTTATTTTTCATATCACAATCATAATTTTTATTTAGCCACTATTTTTTTATTATTTTCAAATCATTTTTTTGCTAGAAAGCTTTAAAAAAATTATTTTTTCCATAACAGCTTTACTAAACATTAAGAAAGCTATATAAAAAAAAAAGTCTTATGATCCATTTGGAACAATTGCACCTTTTTATAAAAGGTTGTTATAAAATTGTTATGGATAAAGTAGTTTTTTTTAAAGCTGCAAAAAAATAATAAAAAAAATTAATAAAAAAAAAAGTTTTTTTAAAGCTGCTATAGAAAATAAATTTCTATCACAAAAATTTATTAAAAGCAGTGAAAAAATATTGATCAAATAAAATTGTGGCTGAGATTTGACAAATAAAATAGGAAGAAAAGCTATCCCAAATGAAATATTATTCGCATCAACCATTTATGATAGAAAACGAATTAAAACCCAAGAACAAATATTTAGAGCAAAGGATCATATTAGCTCTAATATTACTAACTCTCACAAAGATAGTCTCAAAGTATTTATTCCTATTGTGGTAATGCCGGTCGAGTCGAGCTATCTACAACACACATGGAAAATAGAAATTATTGTGTGCGGGCACCGAATCATTCAGATGCGAATCAGAATGTGCCAAGTCATCCGTTACACATCAAACGGGTGACGTGACGTATTCTGATTCATCTCCGAATGGTGTACACATATCCGCACAAAATAATTTCACCATGGAAAGATGGTCTTTCATTCGGGCGAATTATTACGTCCGGTCACCAGACGTCCGAAAATTCAATTCAGACGCACTACACACTCAAATACACTAGAATCCGATGTATTTTAGTGACGTGGCGAGTCTGAATTGATGTCCGGACGAATCCAGACACCAGACGTAATAATTTGCCCTTTCATTCGAGCTGAAAGGATGCTATTGATACACCAATAGGTATTGCAAGGTCAGGATCACCCTTCAGAGTTAACAAATCCTCCATATCACCATTCAAATAAGCTCTCATAAAAGCCACCATGACTCCACCGACAAAGTTCCTCATAGGCTCCCTCGTCTTCCCCTTGGCACACAAGCAATAACTAGCTTTCCCTACAATTCCTTTGGTGTCATCATCCAATGTGTCCATGTGACCATACTCCTTAGCCACAAGATGGCAAGCAGGAGCTCTGCATTCATCGTAGAACTCCTGGTGGCTCACTCCCTCTGGAGCACAGGGAGGGAGCAAGCAATTCCTCTTAAACTCGCCGAGGCCGGAGCCGATCACCAAAGCCGCCATTTTTAGCTCGAAAGAGCTCGGAATGTAGGTGAGGATGGGTGGATTGGTCTGATTTCCTTTGCTTGTTCCGTCGACTGGATCGACTGCCAGTAGAGCTGAAAAGGTGAGCGAGGTCTTCGCATAGCCCAGAGCAAGAGCAAATGCAACCTTGCCGCCGCGGCTGTGGCCGGCGATGCCTAGTTTGCAGAGATTGGGTTGAACATTATTGGGAAGGATTTTAACCAGACCTTTTACTAGCCAATCCGTTACTTCTGCGGCATCAGAAATATCTTTAGTTGCATCAGACCCTGTAACGATGTAGAGCTGCAGAAAGTAGTATATGTTGAAGAAACCAGCAGGATTTTATCAGGAAAATTAAAGCTTATTCACTAAATGATTTTCTAAGGGGGTGTTTGGTATCGGATTTGGCTGTAGTTTTAAGTAGGATTTAACTTAAATCCAGCCAAACGTATTCCGCGCGTCTGTAAATCCGGGACGTCATAAATCCAGGTAAATCATAATCCCATTCTTCGGCGGAGATTCGGCCGAAGAAGCGCGCCGAAGGAAGAAAGTTACCTTCACAAATTTATAACAGGTGTATTGATGTTACTTAATATTACTCCTTCAATTTTAAATCTCTAACTATTTTAAATCCTGTAATATGTTGTCAAACTACTTCTCTAAATTTAACAGGATTTAATATTTATCATGCCAAACAATTTTCAAGCTTCATCAGTCTAAGATTTACTAAATCCTACTAAAGTTGAATCCAATCCGATACCAAACACCCCCTAAGGAATAACTAACTTAATGAAAGAGTTAGTAATACTTAACCTGAGGGGCGACCACAATATAGCCATGAGATGAGATGTGTTGGAGGAGCTGAGAGTAGAAGGAATTGCAGAGAAAGGTTCCATGGAGGAAGATGAGAACAGGAAACTCTCCTTCATCGCTAGGTGTTGAGACAAGAAGAGGCTTCGGTGGAGGAGGAGACACAGATGCAGAGTTCTTATTGCTGACGCTGAGGAGATTCACTGTGTACTTCCCAAGCTTGAACACAGAACTTACAGTAGTCGACATGTTCATATATATTTTGAACTGCTCAGGCAGCTCTTTCTTCCAAATATTTCTTTCTCCTTTTCTCCTCCTCGCTGATGGATTTCTTTCAAATCTCCATTGATCCTTTTATAGTTGATCGATCTCCTAATAAGATTGCAAAATAAATACTTTGAAGAAGATGGTCATAAGTAATCTGGTTGGAGAAGTTTATTAAACTCCATGACCACTGGTCACTGACGTCGACGCTTTGAGTTAAAAGGCTGTAAATCGTGCTTACATGCATTGAGGGAATATATCACATGATTATTATTTATTAGTACTATTTTGAATGGAGAAGAAAGATTAGAAACAATCATGAATGAAGGGATAGACTATATGCATGCATTGAGGAAGAGCAAAAAATGAAATTTTCCTCCAGATTTTTTTATTAGTTTGAATAGAAAAATAAAGACTATGAAGAATAAAACTCATTATCTCTCTCTCTCTCTCTCTCTCTCTCTCTCTCTCAAAATAACTGAAAAGTGAAAACTTAGGCTTGAAACTCGCCAAAATGGCTAAAAAATAATCTCTAGAAGCTTAATTGGTGCCTAAAATACTGAAATAACTTTGCTAACATTTGTAGTTAAATTAAACTACTCCAAATATCGAATTTAATAGTACTGAAAGTACTCAAATATTGAATAAATGATCTTTGATTAAAGAATTTAGTATGAACCATCCAATAGAGTGTTGTAGAATTTTAGTTAAATTTATCAAACTTTCACTATAAGAAAATAATAAGTAGATACATGAAGGGGGTCTTGACTTCAATTTGGAGAGATCATATAGATTTGAAGAACTACATAACTTTATCAAACATTCGACGCCAATGATTGCCACCAAAACTAAGGTCATCAAACTATCATCGTTTGACCTTCACTTCTATCAATCAACGTTTCATTTTCTTCGCTCAGCCTAAACCTCCCATCTATTATCATTTTATTGTTGTTGCGGGCTACAATATACGCGGTGATAGAGTTGTAATTTTACGTCTTAGCATTGCATGGATATCCAGCTCACATACAGAGAACATATGATTTTTTACATGGAAAACCTTGCAAAGGGCCGGGGAAAAACCACGGTGCCTAGCCTAGTTGAAAAGATTTCACTAGAATTTGAGTTGAATACAATGGGCTGACTCATCCTTGAGGACCATCAGATTACAAATGTCAACCGTATGGTTGAAGTCTAGTGTTAAATATGGCATCACTTGAAAGTTAAGGCGTTAGTTAGTACGTAGTCCGATAGTGACTTGGAAGAATTCTGGCTTCAGTTGATCGTTTGATGGAGTTTAGGGCCTCAAGTGTTGGTATGGCGGAGTTCAGGGCCTCAGGTAGTGGTCTGGCGAAGGTGAGGGCCTCATGTGGTGGTCCGGCGAAGGCGAGGGCTTCACGTGGTGGTCCGGCGAAGGCGAGGGCCTCAGGTGGCGGTCTGGCGAAGACGGGGCCTCAGGTGGTGGTTCGGCAAATGTGGTCTGGCGAACTCAGGCGATGGTTGAGGAGGAACTTCTTCCTTCTCTTCCTTCTCTTATTCCTTCTTCTCTTCTTACTTCTGCTTGGATCCCCTTTCAAGGAAAATGAGGGGTCTATTTATAGATTTATGGAGTGGCTTGGCCCGTAATAGGTGAGAGATCATGGGTAAAGGGGGAGTGGTCGGATGGACGGCCGATGTTGAATCCCTTGATCATGGACTGTTTGATGGACATTTGGATGTTTTATTGATGTCGGAATTCGGTGATCTTGGCCTCGTTGGATTTGTCTCGTCGAGCCGCTCGATACGACTATAAGTTGGTTATATTTGGAAACTGTTTGGTAATCCAAATTGTGGTCCGAACCTTCCAACAGCGCTTCTCACCCTTGATTTGGACCCGTTTAGGTTCGGATTAGGTTGGATTTGGTGTCGTTGGATTCGTATTCTCGAGATGCTCAGTTCAACTTTAAGTTTTCTGAAATCCGAGTTCATATGGTCCCAATTTTAATTTTGAAAGTTTCCAATTTGATTTTGCATTGACATGCGTGGCTGATCAAGATAATTTTTTAATAACATATCAATTATCATTGCTTGAATGTTATTATTTGATCAATTTTGTCCACTATCATCATCCGACTGTCGTTACCCAATTAATATCTTCCTACTGCCATCAACATCCCACCATTAATTCTCCAAGAAGCTAATTTACAATTAAAAAGAGAATAAACTTAAGTTCATTACTTTGTAATATTATATTCTCCAATTGAGAGCAAGAATAAACCTCTATAATTTTACTAATTACATAATAGATCTAAGACCAGCCTGGCCAACGTCATGTCTTTATTCTTTGCGTTCATTACATACAAACTCTAATCTCTCATGTATTCTTTTATCTAAATATTTACAAGATATTTATGCAAAAGCTTTGACATAAAATTTTTTCTTTATCAATGCAAATTTTTTAACATATAACTTATTCGAGTTCTACCATTACTAAAGAGTTTTAAGGCTTCATTTAGGATGACTTTTTTACTGCTTCTTAAAGCAGTTTTTTAATAAAAAAATAATAAAAAGCTATTTTAAATAGTAAAAAAGTCATCTCAAATGACGCTGACCTAACTAATATCTTAATCTAATACTTTTCATTTGTGCTACTTTTTCTCACATTTATATACGTTAAATGCTCTGAATCTGCATGTCTTTTTTTTTTTTTTTTATTTAAGGAAGAGATTTGGAGGTATTAGGTTTAGCTTAAGATATATGTTATGTTGCATTATTATTGATCCTTCATTAATTGCCACTATAATTTATAACTCTTTTGTCCTTCTCTAATCGCATATTAAAAATGCAGAATAAATAATTTGAAGCTGTCGGTGTGAACAGTTAGCTTAAGCTGGGAGATGTTGGTAATGAATAATTTGGTTGGAGAAGTTGATTGAACGACTCCATAATCACTTCTCGCTGACATCGATCTATGCATGCAGACGTGATCTGTCTTAAAAACCTGTAAATCATGCCTGCATGCAGTAATGAGCGAATATACCTCAAGATTGGAGAGCTTTTTCTGTAGAAATATATAGTATTATTTTGAACGAAGAAGCAATATAATGATGAATGAAGGGGTAGAGTTAGGTGAGATTTATTTTAAAAACCTTTATATCGATCGTGTCTGCAGGCTGCATGCATGCATTGAATAGAAATAATGATTACTGCTGCGTGGTAGAAAATTTATGGCTACTGGGACGGTTGTGGATAAGAATGAAGGTCAAGCAGCGACGTTGGGGTGTCAGTTAGTAGTCCGATAGTAACTTGACAGAATTTTGACGTCAGTTGATGGTCTGGCAGAGTTTAGGGCCTCAAGTGTTGGTATGGCAGAGTTCAAGGCCTCAGGTGGTGGTCGGGCGAAGGCAAGGGCCTCAGGTGGTGGTCCGACGAAGGCGAGGGCCTCAGGTGGTGGTCCGGCGAAGGCGAGGGCCTCAGGTGGTGGTCCGGTGAAGGCGAGGGCCTCAGGTGGTGGTCCGGTGAAGGCGAGGGCCTCAGGTGGTGGTCCGGTGAAGGCGAGGGCCTCAGATGGTGGTCTGGTGAAGATGAGGGCCTCAGGAGGTGGTCCGGTGAAGGCAGTCCGGTGAACTCTAGCGGTGGTCGAGGAGGAGCTTCTTCCTTCTCTTATTCCTTCTTCTCTTCTTACTTCTTGCTTGGATCCTCTTTCAAGGGAAATGAGAGGTCTATTTATAAATTTTTGGAGTGTCATGGTCTGTAAATAGGTGAGAGATCAAGGGTAAAGGGGGAGTGGTTGAATATCCGACGGCCGATGTTGAATCCCTTGATCATGGACCGTTTGATGGATATTTGGATGTTTTAGTGATGTCGGAATTCGGTGATCTTGGCCTCGTTGGATTCATCTCATCGAGCTGCTCGATTCGACTATGAGCACGTTATATTTGGAAACTGTTTGGTAATCCAAATTGTGGTTCGAACCATCCAACAGTGCTTCTCACCCTTGATTTGGACCCGTTTGGGTTCGGATTAGGTTGGATTTGGTGTCGTTGGGTTCATATTCTTGAGACTCTCAGTTCGACTATAAGGAAGAATGGCTACCTTCGCGGCGACTTAGCTCTTGTTGTGGTCGCTGTTGCCGCTCGAACAGAAAATGGCGAGGAAGGAGTTCGGCTAGGGCTTGAGGAGGGTGATTTTCGTATCTGACAGGAAGGACGTCTTCGAAGGAGGTGAAGAAGCTTTTTGGCTACTCGTTCAAAACTCCGTCTATCACACGAAGGCGAATGGAGAGGGGTCGAGCGGAAAAGAGGGGAAGAGTCGGAGGACCGCTGGTACAAAATACTATAAAAATTTAACTTTTTTGAAGGTGAATTTAACTGCGGTTAAAATCGCAGTTTATGTCTATCTACAGCAGCGGTTATAAAACTGCTAGTATAAAATGCTGCGAAAACATTCATTTTTTTGGTAGTGCGCATATTAAAAATGCAGAATAAATAATTTGAAGCTGTCGGTGTGAACAGTTAGCTTAAGCTGGGAGATGTTGGTAATGAATAATTTGGTTGGAGAAGTTGATCGAACGACTCCATAATCACTTCTCGCTGACGTCGATCTATGCATGCAGACGTGATCTGTCTTAAAAACCTGTAAATCATGCCTGCATGCAGTAATGAGCGAATATACCTCAAGATTGGAGAGCTTTTTCTGTAGAAATATATAGTATTATTTTGAACGAAGAAGCAATATAATGATGAATGAAGGGGTAGAGTTAGGTGAGATTTATTTTAAATACCTTTATATCGATCGTGTCTGCAGGCTGCATGCATGCATTGAATAGAAATAATGATTACTGCTGCGTGGTAGAAAATTTATGGCTACTGGGACGGTTGTGGATAAGAATGAAGGTCAAGCAGCGACGTAGGTCAAGCGAGGGCAATCTAATGATGGAGGTCGGGCGGCAGTAGTCTAACTCGAAAGTGGTGGTTTGATAATCAAGGTTGGGCAGAAATGGTTTGGCAATGGTGGTCTGACAGTTGATTACCGGTGGTTCAATGGATGTGCTCTGACGATAGTAGCCAATCGGGTGGTGGTCTGATGATGATGGTGAAGCAGTTGTAAAATGATGACGGTCGA